GAAAAACTTAGCTGTCACATTTTATCTTCTGATGGAATTTATCAAGGCAAATGTCCAACAGAGGACAAATGTATTGTTTTCATTTTGTCTTTATATATATTGTCCTTATACAGATATATATTTTAGTTATATCTGAAATTTTAAACACACACGTGTGTGTGTGTATGCGTGTGTCTGTGTTTTTGTATATTGAATAAAACTCAATATCATTTAACAAAACAAAAAAAAAAAAAAAAAAAAAAAAAAAATTTTTACAGTTTTCTACTCTTCGAAAGCAGCAAATGAAGGACTACCAAAATATCCAGAAAGATTTGCATTTATCCTGAAATTGCTGACTGCTGTGCCTTACTTTGTCCAACCCTAGGAGAAGGCCTTTGGAAAAGTCCCGAGTCGGCCCCCAGGAATTATCCGTCAAGTGGAATCAACTTGCAGGCCCAAGACGGAAGGCAAAAAATCAATAGTAATAGGAGATGAACAGCCGTGCCTGGGCACGACAAGCGCTATCTGCGGGATTAAGACTTTATATTAGCCACTAGCCAACACTGACAAGCACCACCCCTTTCATTAAGCTGTCAGTACCCCAGCAGATATAACGGTCAGTGCTCTGAAGCCTCGGTCAGCTAGGAATCAAACAGGTCCATCGTTTTTATTCATTGTGGGCCCCTCTTTCTGCACACACTCAAATGCCACCTTTTTAATGCCCCCCCCGGTCCTTCTTCATAGGAGGCAAGAGGAAGTGGAATGGCTGGATGGTAGTAGAAATGGGGGGGTAACCAATTTGATGATGCACTTTTTCACTGTTTCTTAAAACCTTTCAAGATTGGATAAATGTTTTCAAATGCATCATAAATTTCCTGACGTACTTTAGCACCTGAAAGAAAGAAAAAGAAATATGAGATCTAACAAAAGAAAAAAACGAGGTGCAATTCTCAAATATGCTCGGAATCAAAACCTAACGCTGCGATTCTCAAATATGCTCGGAATCAAAACCTAACGCTGCGATTCTCAAATATGCTCGGAATCAAAACCTAACGCTGCGATTCTCAAATATGCTCGGAATCAAAACCTAACGCCTGCGATTCTCAAATATGCTCGAATCAAAACCTAACGCTGCGATTCTCAAATATGCTCGGAATCAAAACCTAACGCTGCGATTCTCAAATATGCTCGAATCAAAACCTAACGCTGCGATTCTCAAATATGCTCGGAATCAAAACCTAACGCTGCGATTCTCAAATATGCTCGGAATCAAAACCTAACGCTGCGATTCTCAAATATGCTCGGAATCAAAACCTAACGCTGCGATTCTCAAATATGCTCGGAATCAAAACCTAACGCTGCGATTCTCAAATATGCTCGGAATCAAAACCTAACGCTGCGATTCTCAAATATGCTCGGAATCAAAACCTAACGCCTGCGATTCTCAAATATGCTCGAATCAAAACCTAACGCTGCGATTCTCAAATATGCTCGAATCAAAACCTAACGCTGCGATTCTCAAATATGCTCGGAATCAAAACCTAACGCTGCGATTCTCAAATATGCTCGGAATCAAAACCTAACACTGCGATTCTCAAATATTAACACTACTCCGGAGATTCTTAAGATATCAAAAGCGCCATAAAATCTGCTGTTTAACTGGGGCAAGGAATGGCTTTGTAATGCCTCCAAAACAAAACCCTTTGCTATTAATCATCTGAGACCTCTTTCTGATTTCCCTCAGTATGATTAATACTCACCTCCAGGAGAGTGACTTGCCATGCCTTCTCGGGCTAACGTTTCCTGCTGACATGAACTGGAAAGATTATATTAAATTATATTAAATCGGTGGTCTGTTGCTAAGAAAGTTGCTTCACTGTGTCATGATAGATTCTGTTGAGAAAAATTGTCTATCTTATGTAGTAATAAGTCTACCATTCATCCATGCTTTGAATATTGCTGCCACATATGGTCTGTACTCCTGCTATATATTCAGAGATTCTTCATAAAATCCAAAGAAGAATCAGCAATATTATTAATCCAGACCTGGCATCTCGGATTCAGACATTTTCCAACCACCATAACATAGCTTCCATGTGCCTTTTCTATAGATATTTTCATGCTAATTGTTCTGATGAACTTTCTTCCATGGTATCTGGACTTTATGAATTTAATCACTGTACGAGATTGGCAGCAAGGCCTCATCAATTTATAGTTGAATTGACTAGATGTAACAAAATTCTTTGCTAACAGTTTCTTCTCTCACACTTCACACCCATGGACCTCTCTTCCAGTTTCTTACTTTCCAAAAATTTAAAGCCAATGTCAATCATTATTAATGGTCTACTTGATTCCTCTTCTGTTATTGCTTTCATTTTTTAATGTTTTTCTTTTTTTATTCTTTCACCTTGTATCTTAGTGGCTTTATTGCCATGTTTGGGGTCAAATTATTAAAAAAAAAAGTTTGCAATCAAACCCTAACCCCAAGGTTATCAAATACACTCAGAATCAAACCCTAACGCCACAATTCTCAAATATGCTTGGAATCAATCCCAAAACCTGCAATTCTCAAATATGCTAAAAAACAAACCCTATCACTGAGATTGTTAAATATACCTGGTATTAAATTAATAAAACCGCATACAATTCATGTAAAATTACAAAAAAAAAAAAAAAAAAAGTGCCCACCAAATTTTTTTTTTCAGTCCGATTTGTAAATTATGACAAAAAAAAAAAAAAAAAAAAAAAAAGAATCCTTCCTGTAGGGGTGAAATTCCTCCCACCTCACCAACATAAAAGCTAAGCGGGAACAGGTCTAAATCCCAGCCATCAGTCCATGCAGCAGGTTGTGCTGGGTTACATCGTACCAGCAGCAGGCCTAAGCTTGACCTGACTCTAAAATTTGGTATAAACCCCAAGCCCAAAATATCCAAAGGCGTTGGATCCATTGATCTACCTGGCCAATGGCTGTGACTTGCATATCTAATCCACTAATTTGAAAAGTGTTTATTCAGATAATCCCAGACAATTGTGGCTGAATGACAAACAGCACAAACTTGTTAAAATACAACAAGGTCTATTATCTGATTTGGTTCAAGGAATTGCTGCAGCATGTCAAAATAAACAAGTCCTGTAAATATCGCATCAGCAAGGATAAATAGGCAAACTTGGTCCTTCATACCGGGGGGGGGGGGGGTAAATTTGTCAAATAGATGATTTTTCCCTTGATACTGGTATTATTTTAACTACCCTCACTCCTTTGAAATGTTTGTTTTAAAAAGCAATGTTTACAATTGTGATAAAACCTAAACATGATGAAAGTGAATTTAGACATTTTCTTTGTTAAGTGACAACAAAAATATTAAACACTATTATATTGTTTATTGGAATGGTTGACAAAACATCGGCTAAGTGCCAATTGCTTCAAATTCTATAAAATGGTAATTAATAAGAATTTCCTTATAAAATGTTGTAAATAAACAATCTAATAAACAAATAGTGATTAATATTTTCGTTGCTAATTCTCAAGAATAAAAAAAAAATGTATCCATAAACTTTCATCATATTTTATTACAATTATAATCATTGCTTTTTGAAACAATAAAATACTAACATTGTGAATGGAAAAACTGTCCCTTTGACATTGCATCTTATTGCAGGTATATAGATTCAAGTTTGCCGACAAAAGGTTCATCAATATTAGAGCCTCGTCCTGGGTATGACGATAAACTACATCTGCGTCCTGGGTAAGATGATAAACTACACCCACTAACAAGGCCTCTGATCAGGAGGTTTTGAGGAGTGTAGAACCACCTCTTAATTGCTGGTGTTCCCAGGTCCACCCTGATCTGGGGTGATAGCACCTGTTAGGGTCCCAGCTATGGGCAAATAATCAACACCCAAACTTGTGTAATAATAGGTTTTAATACCAGAAATACTTTGTAATAAAAAAATTATTACCAGCAATACTTAAAAAAAAAAAAAAAAAAAAAAAAAATGCCAGCAATATAAACAGTTATACATTCCTTCAAGGAAAAATATTCCCAGAAATAGATTTTTGAAGAAAAACATTACATTTTTATTGGCATAAAATAACCCATTGAGGTTGATATGCTGTAAAACAAAAAACAAACCAAATCAATATTAGAGTCTATCAAACCCAACTTGACATTATCCTTGAGAGAGACCGTTTCCCAAAGTCAGACAAAATCTTTGGCCCAAATGTGACAAGCGTAGTAATTTAGTTTTCCATAATTGCCAGGATATATTTGAAAAGATGTAGATAGTGCAAGGACAGTAAATCATGCAGAGAGATTGAAGACAGTCATGTCGAAACGCTCGGCAGTGAAGGGAGATTGAAGCTGTCAATGTTGAATTCAATAAGTATTACTAATATTCCAAAGTCTGACTAAATTTGGTCAGCTTTGTTGATTTTACATGTCCACCCTAGATGGGTTACGTAATGGTCAAGTTTTGTATAAGGATGAAACTCACTACTCAATGATAATAGTCAGCCAGACTAGGCTCGTTAACCATTACTCCACACTGAGCTATCCTTGTTAATTTTTAAGCTTAGCTTAGTTTTAATAAAGCCAGTTATAGGGAACCTAGATAAGATCAAACTAAATATTCAGTAGTAATGTTCAGTCAAAACAGTCCCATTAACCATTACGTATAAATTGCCTTTAGTTTTCTTGCTTAACTGAAATTTTGAGATGAAGCATTATTATTCTTTCATGAATTATCCCAAATAGCATTCTCATCACTACATTTTTAGCCAGTGTATTCCTTTGACCTTCCTCAGATATACATTATGAGGCAAATTATTTATTGACCTGTAATCTTGATAAGTCAGTAAAGTTTGTAATTTTTCATTCTATAAAAACAATTCATAACTCTAGAATAGGGACTTCATGGAACCCTTGCATATAAGAAAAAGCTATTCTGCACTTGTAAGGGTAATGACCTAACTGCACTGATGACACAAATGGTCTCTTTCACACCTCTGGAATTTTTCCTAACTATAGAGTGAGAAAATGGGTAGACAACATACCTGTAAGAACGACTTTGCCAGAGACGAATATTAGCAACACAATTCGAGGCTTCACCATTCGATATATGAGACCGGGAAATAATTCAGGTTCATAACTAGGGAAATAAAAATACAGAGAATATTAACCAATTGCTAAGGAGGGGGAATACTTTTTTTTTAATTTTTTTTTTTTTTTGTTGGTGTAATTTACTTCTCTTCAACGATGACCTATGAAAAAAAAAATCAAGGCAAATATAAAGACTTTATTTACACATCAGCTACGTTTTTCTTTTGTCTTTATTTATATTGTCCTTTTACAGATATACTTTATCTGACATTTTTTACACAGACATAGATATTATTAATCTTTCAGTCCTACAATTATGAGTTTAGCTTATGTAATATCTTTCTATTCATGGAAATATATTGTGGCTAATTTGATGAATAAAACTTTTCTGTATTATTGTATTTGTGTATTTCACCTACAATGTACAAAATATGTTTAAGCAACAAATTTATTATAATTTTCATTTCAAAGAATAATTATATTTCCAGTTCAAGTTTTGATTTAATGTATATTGTAACGAAGATTACCTGTTACGTTATTTTTTGAAGCAGGATGACAATATTTTACATAATTGTAACACTAAGTATTTTCGTATTGGGGCGTGTCAAAAACTCAGGGGATTATCCATTTTCAGAGATCTGTGGTGATTAACACAGGGTTAAAGAGATTTTTTTCCAAATATCATCGTCATATTCTGCTATTTCATGAAGTTACTTTTTTCCCCACCTGGCTTCATAAACATCTGGCAACAGTCCACTATTGTCGCAACAACTGTCTAGTTTTGACAAGGCCAGTACACTGAAACCCTCGGTCATGATGACTTGGGACTTCATGCAAACACAACCATTGATAAACAATTCTGTCTACAACCAAATTCACTTACAAGACTCGAGTCAACCCCATGTATGATTTTCAAGCACTTTCCAAAAGGTACCACAGACTAGGCTCACCTCCCCAGACTGATAACATTAAGTAGCCACCTACCTCACAAATCGATCATGGTGTGATTCAAACAGGTAGCAGAATGGTTAGAATATTTGATTTATGACCATTATATATCTAAGCAAATTTGAATAGAGTAATATTATCCCTGCAGGTCTTGGTTTTGGGTGGGGGATATATAAATAGACATCCACTTTGTCAACATTATATATATATATATATATATATATATATATATATATATATATAAACTTCAAATTTAGCAAAAAAAAAAAAAATCAACCCAAAGCATGGTTAGAGAGGGATGCTCGCTGTAGTGATCAAAATAACAAAGATGAGGATAATAGTTTGAACAAGTTGGGGGTTAAGGACAAATATTTTTTTTTTGAACTTTACACAGCACAAAGGTGTCTGGAGACTACAAATGGATCATTGGGATTGAAACAATCAAGATGAGGATATTCATCTGAAGAATTAATGATAATCACAACCACTCAGTCTTAAGGCTTCAAACGATAAAGTTAATTCCCTTGTTGACAAAACTACTATCGACAACTGAATCCAGGTGGCAAGGTAATCAGTGCCACAGGTTTGACCAAGATCGTTAGAGGAAAGAGTTTCTTGCTTTGAATGGAGTCAAAAAGTTTTCGTTCTTCGACTGGAAGTTACGACAACTTCCGATTTTCAGACAAACTACGAAGTAACACTATTCTTCTTCTTTTATGTGCCGTGTCCCCTCCGGATGTAGGTGATCATAGTCCTCCACCTCCTCCTGTCCCTTGTAGCTCTTAATTAGTTTTGTCTTTTTGTTATTTCTCCCAGACCCTCTTCTGTCATCCACTTGCTCAAGCACATCAAGTATATCACGGGTTTACTTTCCCCTGCACCTCTTTCTCTCAATCCGTCCTGTGAGTATCAGACTTCCCAAGCCCTCCTTTCTCATTACATGTCCCTAAAATTTCAACTGCCTCTTCTTGATGTTAAGTTTTCTCTTGTTTCCATTCACTCCAAAACCTTGTCATTGCTCAGATGATTGGCACATAGTATCCTCAGCATCCTTCTGTAGAACATTTCTGCTGCTTCGGGTCTTCTTCATTGTCCAGCATTCACTGCCATACAGGAGGACAGATATCATGTAACAGCTCAGTCCTCTTTTCTTCGTTGCCAACAAAACATTCCTGTCTCTTAATACTCTACTTAGCTTTTGAAATGCATCTTTGGCCATCTCAATACATCCTCAGCAGATCTCAGTGTCACACTTACCATCCTCTGTTAGAGCGCTTCCTAGATATTTAAAGTCCTGTACCTGCTTGATTTTAGTGTCCCTGACCTGTAAATCGCATTTTGGGCTCATCTTTTTGCTGATAAATTCATAATGCATATTTGAAAGATTTACAAACAGACCAATCCACCAAATAGATGTGTTTATTACAATATCAGACAGCATTTCAGCAAGATATGCGTTAGAAAAGGCAAAAACTACTTGTCAGGACGACCCAGAATTGAGGTGGAGGCAGTTAACAATAGCTTACCTTGAGAACTGTTGATGTGTTAAGACAAGGCCTTCTAATCGAATTGGAAACTTTACATCACAGCTGCCAACCATGTTCTGTATTTTGAAATCAAGAAATTTGGCCTGCAAGAAAGGAAAGAAGTTGATCATATAAAACGGAAAGGTGGTGGAGAGCTATAAAACTCAGGCGTAAGATGCAACACATTTGTGTGCTAAGAGTCCGACAATGATTATTGATCTATAACCATTTACTCGGTTTAGGGATAAGTAAATATTGGTTGTTTATATTTGAGCCTGTAAGCATTTATTTGGTTTGGTGGCTAGCTAAGTATTGGTCCTTCACATTTGTGTCCATGAGAATTAACTTAGTTTAGGGTAAATATAGATTTGCTTGTTAGGTGACCCTTGTTGAAATGGTCTTTAACTCTTTGCCTGTCATGCGCATTTTATGTGATGCACAGACTACTCTTTCTCCAAGTTGGCTCTATATTTCCTCGGCAAGTGTTATGTTAAGGAAAGGAAATGACTATAAATTGAATTTTGCCTATTAAATGTACAGATTTTCAAACGCGACTATCTGCTTACAGGTTTCAAATTTTCTTTAACCCTTTGCCTGTCCTGCGCATCTTATGCGACGCATAGGTCATGTGATTTCCACGTCAGTGCATCATTTATGGTGCACACAAGCCATGATTTTAAGAGTGGTAAAACTAAGGACTCTTAAGTAAAGAGTCTACTATTGAGCAGGACGTCCAAGGAATGGCCTAAGATAATATTTTGTGCATTATATATAACCATAGGATGTTTTCAGATTTATAACTACTGCAAGGCAACTCAGATTATTTGGCAAATAGAATGTGATGATTATATATATATATATATATATATATAGTGTTTCACATAATAGAAACCTGTGCATCACATGTGCTGCACAGAGCGTAGTGTAAATAACTTATGGTGTGTACGTTTTTATTACATGAAACAGCATATATAAGCACATTCTATTTGCCAAATAAGTTTAGTTACTTTGCAATAGTTATGAATCTGAAAACAAGCATGAACATTTGGATAAGACGCATAAAAATGCCCTGGACAGGCCAAAGGTCAAACTTAATGAAAGACAAAAATGAATTTGTATTTGGTTATTGTAGCAGTATTTTTTTTTAAATTAATGTACAGCAGAACTGAAATTGCACAGATTACACACACATGAAAAGCAAAAAAAAAAAGTCTTGTAGTTTGATAACTATAATATTATTACTATTTTATTATATTATTAGTATATAGTATTAGTATATTAATATTAGTAAAATGCAAACAAATGACAACCACAATGAATGACAGATTCAAAATTAATGACTGCATTTAGATTCAGTTTGTTCAATTTTGGCAATCATGGGATCAAGCCTGCTTCTGCAAAATATCCACAGCTAAAGAATTTATCTGTTCTTAAACTCCATTCCCATTCAAAAAGTTCCCACCTGTTATGTTTGATTGCATAAACTCCTAAATATATCGTCTGGGTGCATATGTCAGGTGATAGGCCAAAACAGAGTCTTAATAGCTTTTTCTATGTCAACAAGATTTCAGCTAGAGATATGATATCAATCATTCTTTAAGCATTTATTCAGTTTGGCAAATAGTTGTATATTGGTCGCCCTGTAAGCATCTACTTGGTTCAGCAAACAGTTAAATTCTGATCGTTTTGTAGGTATTTATTTGGTACCGTACATAACTATCAGTTGCTTATATTTGAGTCTATAACCATTTACTTGGCTTGGTAAGAGATAAATATTGGTCGCTTACATTCAAGTCTACAAGCATCAACTTGACTCAGAAGAGAGATAAATATTGGTCATTTATATTTGAGTCTGAGTATTTACATGGTTTGGGAATAGCTAAATATTGATGGGTGTTATATAAGCTTTTGCTTGGTAGGTATGTTGGAATGATCTTTAAACAATGAAAAATGGAAATGAATTTGTATTTGATTATTGTATCAATTTTTAAATTAATGTATAGCAGTGCGGGAATTGCACAGATTACACACACATGCAATAGTTTGATAATTAACGTTCTAATATTGTTAGTAAATTTCTAACTAAATACTGGCCATTTATATTTGAGTCTATAAGCACTTCCTTGGCTTGGAGAGAGGAAAATATCAGTTGCTGACATTAGTCATTCTGTAAGAATTTATTCAGTTTGGTGGACAACTAAATATCAGTCATTTATATTTGAGTCTATAAGCATTTATTTGGTTTGGCGGATAGGTATATACATCGGTCATTATGTAAGCATCTATTTGGTTTGGTGGATAGGTATATACATCGGTCATTATGTAAGCATTTATTTGGTTTGACAGATAGGTATATATATCGGTCATTATGTAAGCATTTATTTGGTTTGGCGGATAAGCATATACATTGGTCATTATGTAAGCATTTAATTTGGTTTGGCGGATAGTTATATACATCGGTCATTATGTAAGCATTTATTTAGTTGGTGGATAGGTAAATATTGGTTGGTTTGGCTTTAATTATTGGTCCTTTATATTTGAATCTAAGCATTTATTTGGTTTGGTAGCTAGCTAAATATGGGTTGTTCATTTTTGAGTCTGTAAGCATTTATTCGGTTTGGCAGATAGCCAAATTATCTAGCTGGGTTTTCTTTGCTCATGTTTTTTACCACTACAGAAATAATCTATGTAAATGTATACATACTAATAGGGAAAAGAATGAAGATTTTCAATAATATATGCGTATTATTTGGAATGCATCTTTTGAGTCGGAAAAAGGAGGGGGATGACATCCTGACTTATGGTGCAAAGGGGGGGGGAGACAGGTTGAGAACCACTGGTCTAAGAGATCCTTTCAGGCATATCACTAACAAATGTAAAGCTGCTTTCATCTTTGCAAATGCAGACAATTTCACTTAGGTTGGTTACTTTAATGGCATATCAGCACTTTTTTTTTTTTTTTAAATTATCAAATATAGGACTGATAAAACAATTCCCAATGAAAGAGAGAAATCGGTCCCGTATGGACAAGTGTCAAAAAGGTAGATATGGGCTGGGTTTACACCAGTCTGCAAGTACCTACCTGAAAGGTCACCCCTCTCCTGAGGATGCAGTTGGTGTATTTTAAGCCCTGCTGACAAGGGAAAAATACTGAATAAATTAGAGCCGGACCTTAACTAGCCAAGAAATTGAATATGGATCAAAACGATCAGGCTTTGAGGTCAAGGAACACAAAATATTTTCCTCTGGTGACTTACATTTTATAAATAAATTTGGCAGAATTGTACAATTAACACTGTAACCAAAATTGATAATTTTTTTTTTTTTTTTTTTTTTTACATCACTATAGATCAGCATTTCTCAACCCTTTTATCCTTGTGCCACCCTTGAAATCACATCTCAGGAACCCCTGCATAAAAGTTAATATATTCCATTATTAATATATATCTTGTCTCATCTTGAGGAGGAAGTGACATAAGGCGTTTCTGATTGGTCACTTGCTATTTCAAGATCAGCAGAGGCAGTTTTATATATATATATATATATATATATATATATATATATATATATATATATATATATATATATATAAAGAGAGTTGTCAGGACCGGAGAAGAAGTCTCTTATATCCGGGTTTGGTCTATTTTATATACATTAGCACAGGCTCTAATTTGGGACCAGAGAAAATCATATATCCGGGTTACACTGTGTGTGTGTATATATATATATATATATATATATATATATGTGTGTGTGTTGCTGTGTGGCTGGTGAATCAATGCTTCAAGATAGCCTGCCGAAACAAATATTGTTTCAGTAGGGTCTGTTGGGTGAACAAGTATGATGTTGAAAATCCTGAAACTTGTCATAACATAACTGATGAGGTGATCCTGCGCACCCATTGGAATGTATTTATAACAAATTTTATATTTTTAATCATAGTTCATATGGTAAACATAATATATGGACACTTAACCTGTACTCGAATGAGTCACTCACTGATACATGAATACGCCACATTACAGGTCCTGTCCACTAACCAATTAAGGCAGATTCCATACAGACATTGCTAAACATATTTCCTATGATTTAATTTTAAATAATAGAAGAGGTTGAAGTCTTTATTATAACCACCAGGGATTTTTCAACAATATGCTGTACATATATAGTAAAATTATGAATATAAAATTAAATAAAAATTACTCAAAAATACATTAGTCTATTTATCACAGAACCCCTAGCTACCTCTTGTGGAGTTCCCAAGGTTTCAGGGACACCAGTTGAAAAATACTGCCATAAATGACGCACTGCAGAACATAAATATTAATTGTTTTTTTGTTTTTTTTTTCAAACTAAATTTTATAAAAATTAGTAAGGGGTTCTAATTTGCTATGGAGGAGACACTGTGGAGTAATGGATGGCAGCTCTGTTTGAAGAACTGGAGAGCCAAGTTCAAATTCCAATCAAATCCATTACATTCACTCACATGCTAATACTTTTGGCAAAGGTATGAATCCTCTTCTTCTCCCCGCCCCCCAGCTATAGGTAAATAGCAGAACAGACCTGGTTCTATAGCCTTGGATGGCAACTAGTCTAGAAGAAGGACAAGTCTGAATTCAAAACCTGATCCTCCAGATTGGGGGTTGTGCAGTAGGCTAACAACCTACTCACTAAACAAAAAAAAAAAAAAAAATATAAAAGACTGGCTTGTTACAGAAACCCTGTGTTTCTCAAGGAATTTAAAGGCACTATATATATATATATATATATATATATATATATATATATATATATATATATATATATATATATATATATATATTACCTTTGGGAAAGGTATGAATCATTTTCTATCCCCAACTTTTTTCCATTTAACTAGCAGTTATTAGACACTTCTGTCTTGCTGTCTTCTCATTTTCGCACTGAAACCAAGTAGTTTGTGCCTTTGATTTTTCTATGCAATCAAAACGAAATAGTCCATTATTCAGGAGTTATTGGCAGGAGACATTAAATCCCCATCTTACAAACATTTTAAAATAATTCCACAAATTATATTATTTTATTTATGGTAACCGGATTCTTAGTGATTGCCTTACTTGGTTTTTACAATGTTTGACGTTGTGAGTCTCAAAAATGGTGCTTTTTTTTTCATGGTAACAGCCACTTCTTGGTCTTTAGGCTAAGATCAAAGTGTAGTATCTGTTCTTATCAGCTTAATTTGATTCCCCCCCCATCTCTCTCCACTTCCATCTTTCCTTCTTTTTCTCATTTTCTCACTGAGACCAAGTAGTGTCTTTTCCCCTCATTGCATGTCATCAAAACAGAATAGTCCATTATTTATGAGGTATTAAGAGGTCATAGTGGCCATGCTAACAAACAAAGAGAAGGACATTTATAATGTTTGATATGTGCCTTTTACTGCATTGTATCATTGTATATCACTAAAGAAAGTTGTGACGGGAATATTGTTTCCAACCCAACATAATGAAATAACCAAACATCAGTTTTTTTTTTTTAAATTTTCCTTGGTTGGTCTGAGAACTTTTCAGTACTAAACACATAACAGACTGCCCATGAGTCTAATAAGTTCATTTCATGATGCCAAAAATACAAGAAAAGTAAATCTATACTTACAGGAAATCCTAACTTTTGAACAATTCTGGCATATTTCCTTGCTGCTAATTTAGCCATTTCTTCACTAAAGAAAAATGAAAAAAAAAGAATTTTTTTTTTATTCAAAATCCCGAAAACATCCTTTATGAAATAAAACTACATTTAAGTCCATAAAACAAAGGAGCAGAGATAGTTAAAAGAAGCAACAGGCACATTGTAAACAAAACACTTTCAAGCTGACACATTACAAATTAAACACTTTCAAGCTAAAATATTGACACTTTTTTTTTTTTTTTTAAAGTTGTCTTGTATTTAGCATTTTCTGATACATTTACACCTGTGGGTAGCACGATGTTTAATCGCAGTGAGACCTTTACTTTGAATATACGCTCTTTTAGCGCTAGAGGGCGTCGTCAGTGATGTTCTGGAGATGGATCATTGGGCAGTTTCGGGTCTTTCAAACATCATACTGACCTCACCAAATCGACCCCCCCCCCTCAGAGCTGATCAGACTCTGCAACGCCCTCTAAAAAATGCTTGTAGACACTGACTTCTATAAATATACACCGTTATCACACATTTGATTGGTGATTGACCAACAGCCAATCACAACGGTGCAAATTCTATTTAAGCTGTTTGCAGGTAATTTTTTTTTCTTTTTTTCGTTTTTTAGTGGACACCCCTTCATCGGATACTTAGAAGGTAATTATGTTTTCCGTTTTTACCCACTTCCCATCAAGTTTCATTTCACCAGCTAATAATTACTATTTACAGAGATAAGAAAAATACGGCCATTAAAATTAATAAATAAATTACAGCGAGTTAAGCCGGGAGTGCTTATAAATATAATAAAATGTTTAAAACTGTTTACGAATAAAAAAAAATAAAATAAAATAAATAAATTACAGCGAGTTAAAACCGAGAGATCTTATAAATTACATTATAAAACCTTTAAAGCATGTCGACGAATAAAAAAAAAAAAAATAATAAAATAAACAATAAATTACAGCAAGTTAAACTGAGAGGGCTTAAAAATATCATAATAAAACGTTTAAAACATGTTAACGAGTAAAAACCCTAATCTATTGATTATAAAATTAAATTTGTGTTTTTCGCTAGAAACGAAACGGAACGAGAAGGGGGGTAAAGGAAAAAACTATTGGTGAGAAATTTGTGATCAATCATGATTTGCATAAAGTCAAATAGTTGGGGAGAAAGAAAAAGGAAAACGAAAAATAAAGTCAATTGGAAGTCAAAACACGGGAGATTTCTAATCAGTAATAAAGGACGAACATGGGGGAAAAAGACTATCAAAAATAGACCTCTTTTGAACGTTACGATGTTATGCAATTATTCTAAATGCTGGGGTAACGGGATAATAATGGTTATGCGAAAAAAAAAAAAAAAAAAATTCAACATTTACACCAAAGTGAAAATAAGTAATAAATAAATAACAAAAAGGATAAGTAAATAAAGAGAAATAAGTTGAATAAGATATAGAATGAAACGAAAACACTTTCCTTCCTCCTTTCCTTTGAAGGTTCGTATGTATTATTTACAATGGCTGACAAACAAACCATGTAAAAAAAAAAAAAAAAAAAAAAAAACGACTGTTTTCGATTATACATATTTACAAACCGATTACGGCATTTCTAGTTAGTTAAAAGGTGTGGCATATCTTTACACTATTTACATTTAATATACAATGATGTATATAATAAAAAAAAAAAAAATAAATAAATACACTTTTACATTGATTTAGTCTTTCCCCAGTTTGCTCGACCAAACACTTGCGCGTTTTAGTCATAGCCATTTAGCAGTTCTTTCTGCTGTCTCGGTAATGGTTTGGATGGCTTTTCGTTTTTTTTGATCCCACTATCCCAATGTCTGTTAAGGCGCTGACTAGTGATCTTGCCACAAAACCCCTTGTGCCTACTTCGATTGGTTTGCAGCTTGCCTTCCATCCATTATTCCTACAACTTTCCAATAATTCATCGTATTTTAGTTTTTTTCATTCACTGGCTTCTTCTTATCCTCATAACAGACTGTTAGTTCCCACATGATGACTTTCTTTAGATTATTTGAAAAAAGGACAAGGTCTGAACGCAATTGGGTTTTGGAAATGTGATCGGGGAAATTTAGCCTTTTACCTAAATCCACTCTGAGTTCCCAGTCTGTTGCACATGATAAACAGTTGGGTGCGGTCATTTTCTTTGGGTTTGGTTTCGCGCCAGCTTTAATAAAATTTATAAAATTCATGTTTGAATTCAGTTTGTTTGTATGGATGGCTGTGCTAACGACTTCCGCAATTTCTTTTCATATTTGATCATGGCGCCATCTATACCTACCGTCTGCTAGGGCTGATTTGCAGTTGCTAAGTATGTGTTTTAAAGAACCTATTTGACTGCATAGGGGGCAAGAGGGTGATTCTGATTTAGTCCATAATTGTAGGTTAACGGGGCTTGGTAGAAGGTCATAAACAGATCAGATCAAAAAGTTAATGCCCAATTCATTACGTCATAGATCTGACCATCCAACTTTCCTAAGTATCATTGTCTCCCATTTTGTCCATGAACCTTGTTGTTTAAACCCAATCATCTTTGCTACTCTCATTTCCTCTTCCCCTGCGCCAATTTCGTCCAGTAAGAGTTGGTGCTTTTCCTTACCTACAGCTTTGTCAATTCTAACAGTAGGATAGAAACCCAGCCCTGCCCGACCCGTGGCGACAGTGCCCAGCACCACTTTTTCGTGAAGACGCTCTTCTGCCACTTTCAACTCCTTTACAGCGTTCCATTTCCTCCCAGTGTAAACCTCAATATTTGCTCCTGCCACATTTGGGTCCTTGGAGAATTTGTATTGTATTATTGTTCGCACCGGTGGTACTTAGATATTTGGTAGACCTAGCCATCTCCGTAAACAGGAGTTGATGTTTTTTTCTATGTGTTCTACGGTAGAGGTAGTGAACTCATAGATGGACAAAGGCCACAATATTTTAGGAATAACAACATGTTGGTAAATCCAAGCCTTGTATCGTCCGGGTAAGCCAGACTTGTCTACTTTATCTAACCAGGCTTCAAGGTTATCCTTTGTTTCCTGGATTGTGACAGAGTCCTTCAGGGTATTGTCAAATCGCTGACCCAAGTTCTTGATTGGGTTTTGCTTTATAGTCGGGATATACTCGCCAGCCAATTTAAAGCGATCCCTCTCTGAAGTTTTCCCTTTTTTCACCACTAATGACCTCAATTTGGCGGCGTTGAAACTCATTCTTGCCCATAAAATAAGTTTCGCCAAACCTTTTAGCAACCACCTCGCACCAATCACAGACGAGGATGTTATAATCATATCGTCCATGTATGACCTTATGGGCGGTTGCTGTTGACCAGATCTTGTTAAAGGACCTCTGCATTCTATTTCTGCCGCTTTTATTAGCATATTCATGGCCAAGGAAAAGAGGGTAGCTGGGATGGTGCAGCCTGTAATAATGCCTTTTTCCAATGTATTCCATGCAGATGTTGTATTTCCTGCTGCTGTTCTCATTTTGAAATTGTTATAATAATCTACTAGGGTCTCTATAATTGGGGGGGGGGGGGGCGTGGTGGCGGTTTAACGATTCTTCTACCAATTTGTGTGGGATAGAGCCATAGGCATTCTTAAGATCCAGCCACAGAAAAGCCATATCGCCCTTATGTGCTCTCACGTCTTTTAGCAGCTGCATGATGACACACACATGTTCTATGCACCCTGGTATGCCTGGAATGCCTCCTTTTTGAACAGAGGTGTCGATATACTTGTTCTTTAAGAGGAAATCTGTCAAGCGTCAATTCATAATGGTAAAAAATATTTTTCCTTCGATGTTCAATAGGGAGATGTAACTAAATAAATTAGAACAATATGCCATAATCAAAGGACATTCTTGATGATTCACAGCAGACACGACATGTCATTGAATCTCATGACTAAGTGGGTGCTGCAACATACACATTTATAAATGTTTAGATAAGTGGGGAAAAATAAACTTGTTCCTTGTTTGGCCTCTGTTCAAATAAATCAATGGTCACTGGTCCGAGAACAGCATCTGGACTGTGACTTTTCCCCTTTTGCATTTTTGAAGATCAAAGTTGGCTGGGAAGCAAAAAACAGAGTTCCGCAGGCAAAAAGTACAAGAAAAGAAACTGTTAGCAAAGAACTTAGTTATATCTAGCCAAGTCAACGGTAAAATTTTGCAAAAAATATTACATTGCGTCATGTAATAAGTGTTCAGCAAAGACTGTGCTTATGACACCAGACCCTAGAGTTGCGAGGTACTATAAATGTACCCATGGCTTTGTGACTAAATAACCTTTAGTAAACAAAATACATCAGACTCACCTTTTAGCCCCCGTACACACCATTTTTCCAGAGCTGAATATCAGGGCTGTTGTCCGAGGGTCTCGTATCCTCATAATCACAGCAGCAAATCGTTTGGGGTTGTATTCAGCATTTCGAGCATGAAGAGCAATTTTTTTTAGGTCTAATTTACAACTGAGGTTTACTGTGCAAACGATGTTCCTGAGGAGAGGGAGGAAAAATAAATTGTTTAATGCATTTAGGATAATTTACAGTTTTTATATACAAGCTGAGAGAGTGAAAAATACATCCAAGGGACAACTGGCAAGAAACAAATACTTGCTGGAAATAAATGTTTAACAAAAACTGCACTAGAAAATTATACAATCCTTGCAGCCATAGAAACATTTTGGCAGCACAATTAAAATAGACATATCAAAGAAAATCATGAGCTACAAGAATCAATCAGTAAAGTTTGTCTTGATTAAGGAAAAAAAATGTAGATCTTAAGCATTAGCAAGGGTACCTGGCAATGTTCAGGAACTAATTGTGTTTAAATAAAGATAAATACTTTATTTACATAGATTATTAAAATGACTAAGGGAGGTAAGCACTCATAAATTCAAAATCTTAAGTTGATTGATCGATCAGTTTGCAATGATTGGCATGTCAACCCATCCAGAGTTATTTTATGCCAGGAGGTAAAGTATGGGGTAGGGTCAAATTTATGTTTTTTCAAGGATTTTTCTTGATTTTAACAGTAAGTTGTCTTCAGTTGTTTGTTGCTAAATGGATTGGGAATCATTTTGATGGAATAAGTTTCTAGAGTAAAGTTCAAGTGTGACACTGTAAGAATGCTGATAATTTGAAGAAAGAAAAAAAAAGGCTTAAACTAAATCAAAAGTGAACACAAAGATAAAGAAGGTAGTAGATAGATTGAAGGACATACTGAAAACAAAAGAAAATATACTTTTATTTTTTTTATCTTTTTAGACCTCACTAGAAGATAGCACTGAAATTCACTTGGACAAAATTGAATCGTCCAGCACTAATTAGATGTGATGTCTGCTTATTTTGTTCTGCTTGCTAGGACTAATGGACGTTGTGTGGGGAAGGGCTCTGGCCTTGGCTGAGGACTGAGAGACCACTCCCAGACAGTAGATAATAATTTTAGTTAATTTGCTCAGTTCGCATTAAAAATTTCCCAAATACTTACATTTATGTATAATTGTACATGCTTCATTCAAATCTGGTTTGATAAATTTGATAAAATCTACCATTTTGGAGTTATCTACAATAAAAGTTCAGATTCATTTGTGTCGCGAGTAGCCATTACTGGCATTGTTTGCATACATTCACTGTAGAATAGATATCAGTGCAGTTATCATTGCGCAAACTGAGTGTGTGTACATAAATAATTCTCATGCGCAGTAATTGAGACAAACTTAGACAAAAAAGATCAGTTCCGTACACAGCTTTCTGCAGCAAATTTTTAATGCAAACTGAGCACGGGTACTAAGCTGCAAATTAACCAATAATTTTATGGTGATATTAGAAATAATATGTGTTTTGTGTTGGGTGAAACACCTATTCCCTTGATGTCAGCAGTGTGAGGAGCTGATATGAGGAAAATGGACACGCTCACTGAAAGGTACTAGTGTGAGGTGTGAGCAAGTAGGAGAGAAAATAGTGGATCAACATGCTACTACTGCCACCCCCCACACTTGGGCTCCCTATATTTGGACATACAAGGGCCACCCAGCAGCACCCACAGAGAGATTTGATTGGGTGACAGGAGATTCAAAAGCATCCCAGAACAAGCCAATCTTAACCCAGTTTTTGGAGGTTGGACTCCATAAATAGCCATGCAGAGATCCTGAAAAGCAAGAAAACACAGAGAGAGAGAGAGAGAGAGAGAGCAGCAGTTGAGGCAGTGATGCACTTCCATTACGCCATGTGATTTGCTGCCATGAAGAACTCTGGACTCATGCCTTGTTCCTGAATATTTGATAAATTAAGCAGAGTGCAAAGTGGAAGAATTGAAAGTCTCTATATAACAAGAGAGAGAGAGACAAAGAGGAAGACGAATGCATTGTCAGTATTCCGTAATTTGCTGCCTGAAGAAGTCTTCGACTTTAAAGTTTGAAACCTCAACTCCGACTTGAAAATGAAGAACAAAATGTTATGAAATTAGACTATGAGGGAATGGTCGTTAGCCTGCTTGCTTGTAGATTTTCATACGAAAAAATGGTCCTGTATAAACCTCAGTTATATAAACCTTGGTTGATTTAGACACCTTTTTTTTTTTTTTTGTCATATATCATCCCACATGAATGACACAAATCCAGTGATATCTGGTGATGATTCAATCCTTGCCTGCCTTGTAATCAAAACAAACACAACGTGGAACAGGGAGAAGCTTGGGTTGAAGTCACCAACTTCGCAGTTAGCCGTGGGATTCAATCGTGGACACACATCCTGGGTATGATGATAAACTACATCCGCGTCCTGGGTAAGACGATAAACTACATCCAGCAGCAAGGCCTCTGATCAGGAGGTTTTGAGGAGTGTGGAAACACCTCTTAATTGCTGGTGTTACCAGGTCTACCCTGACCCGGGGCGGTAGCACCTGTTAGAGTCCCAGCTATGGGCAAGTAGTTGACCCCACAACCTAACTCAAAACACTATAAAAGTGTAAAAATAGATTTTAATACCAGAAATACTTTAAAAAAAAAAAAAAAAAAAAAAAAAAATTAGTATCAGCAATAAATATTTGAAAAAAAGAAAATATTAATAGAAATAAAAATCTTGTCAGCATTAAATAACCCATTGAGGTTAATAATGCCACAAAACAAAAACTATACATTTTTAAAAAAAAAATATTACCAGCTATACATTTTTTGGGAAAAAAAAAAAAAAAAAAAAAATGGAAATTTTGTCGGCATTAAATAACCCATTGTGGTTGATATATGCCGTAAACCAAACCAAACCTAACGATCTCATACCACTAATCGAGGATGGGACAGTGTTGTCATTCATAAGACCAGGAAAGAGTATGAACCGGATGATAGGCAAACCTATCTACTCCTATTAAATTATTATTTTATTACTATATTTACTTCATCATATTATTATTGCTTTTTTAGATTAAGTATTTTCACTATATTTTTTTAGCATTTCATGTAGATAACACGCCAAAGTAGCACCCAACATTTTTTTTTTTTTAGAGAAAAAGTAAAGAAAATGGCCACTTAACATCAGGAGGAGATAATAGAAATTTCTAGGGTACATAATGAGAAAAGAGGGCTTGGAAAATCTGATACTCACAGGGTAGATTGAAGGCAAGAAGGACAGAGGAAAACAATACAGAATCTACCTCACAAGCTTTAGTAATTGGATGGTAGGTCAGGGCTTAGGAGAGATAACTAAAAGACAAAATTTATTAAGAGCTACAAAGGACAGGAAATTGTGGAGAGCCACGATCATCAACGTCCTGAAGGGACACAGCACAGAAAAAATAAGAATCTGTTTTTATACATTCAGAAGTTAGGGCTATAAAATTTTGCTGATAGGGATAAAAACAAATAAAATGTTGCTACACTTGAACTCAGTATGTATTAGCAAAGTAATGATTTTGCTTACAACTGCCCACTGACTGCACCTTTACTCTACTACTTCCAATGCTAAACTTCAGCATTTTTTCCCAAATAAACTAAATGTTTCTGGTGGTAGAAAAGAGATTGTTGATTAAGCAGCCAATCTTATATTTCTTTTATTTCAGTAAGTTTTTTTTTTGGGGGGGGGTCTATTTTGAATTTTCTTTCTCAGTGTCTGTAAGAATATGAAGGGGGGAATGTTTGCATGGATACGGGATCAACAGTTAATATTAAATTTGAAACCAAAACACCTCATGTTTTTTTTTCAATGCACTATCTACAGATTGAGAACCAAAATTGTTTTAATCTTTCTGGTCAGGAATTAAGGGAAGCAAGGCTAAAATGTGCATAATAAACCCCTTTACTATATATATATATATATATATATATATATAGAACAAGGGGAAAATAAAGATTGCCAAGGGTCAGAAATTCCATCGTTACTGAAACATGAATCATATTAGATATAGAAATGCATTGCAAATAAGGCAAAAGGGTGTGGGGTCTGAAAAGTTCAACCCACTTCCCAGAATCTGGACAAATTTTTTTTTTTTTTTTTTTAAGGGATTCTGAGTGTGGCCTAGAATATTCAGCCCTTATAAAGCATGTAAGTATTTACTATAAAAATGTATCATCAGTGAAGAAATTAGGATTGTCAGTGGTCAGGAATAAGAACAAAAATTGATGTTCATTTGTTCAATTATTCCCTAGCTGATCAGTTGGCTTCATGCCTGTTTACTTCCAGCAAGTCTGGCACTTTCTTTCTTTTTTCCCCCCCGTCTATTTTGAATTTTCCTTATCAGTGTCTGTAAGAATATGATGGTGCAGGTGTCTGCATTGGTAGCGGATCACTGACTCCCAAAAGAAAAAAAAAAAAGTTGTCCATATTGGATTAGAAACCAAGTCGCCAGCATTAAAAGTTTGATGCCTTGTAACTGATTTTGTAAATGTCTTGTGTAGGACATAAGCCCAAACATTCCTTTGCACTGCCACAATTTCAACTGGGAAAAGCTCATTGTATGGTTTCCCATTGGCGTCTCCACATTTTTTTTTTTTTTTTAAGACAAAGGAAATTCCTTGCCGTCATATGTTTAGTTATCGAAGATTACAACACAGAGGAACAGTTCAAGGGAAGTAACTCTCTTATACAACTAAACAGAGAGGATATTAAACAGTCTGCAGACAAAAATCTGGTCAAAATTTTCAGGCTACACATCCATCATGTCTTCCTGACTTTGATGTCGGGTAGGAACTTGTAAAGGAACTTGCCAAAATTGTGTGTAATGTTCCAAAGACTTACAGCTAGTGCAGGTCATTTTCAGAGAAAGAAGGAATGTTTGATTGATTTGTTATGTGGTCTATTTAAAGCTGAAACATGAAAGAATAGGAAAATCTATGGCACCAGAAAAAAAACTCACCAAAAGGAATTAAATGAATGTTTTGTTTAACATGTCTAAATGAAGGGTTGCTGCCTAAATATACCATATTATATTTTTTTTTTTTAAATAATCACTTATATAAAACATCTTGAAAAATTTCTCAGAGTTACCCAAATATTAATCTACACCCAGGCTTTTTCCTTATTTCACCGTAACAGAATTACCACTCTCCCAAACAAATGTACACAACAGTATCATAAAATCAAAAGAAAATGGTTGAATCCATCAACACAGCAATAATAACAATATCTCCACAAGTAACAGTAATCAGTATGAAAATAGCATTCTCTAAATTCTTCCAGTTGCTATGGACATTTTGTTTTGTTATTATTGGTTACTTTGTTTAATAAATTCATTTTGTTTTTTTGCCTTGAAAAAGTCCACATTGGATGAAACGTGTCAGAAACTATTAGTTTTCCTATTGTCTTTTACATTTATAAATAAAATATCTTATATGAATAAAAACAAAAGGAAAATCTTAACCAATTAGTTTCATCTTCTGAAGGACTTTATCAAGGTAAATGTCACATTTGTCTTGATAAAGTCCCTCAGAGGACGAAACACATCAGCTAAGATGTTCTGTTCCTTTTGTCTCTATTAATAGTCCTTTTACAGATATACTATATCTATATATAATAGTCCTTTTACAGATATACTATATCTATATATAATAGTCCTTTTACAGATATACTATATCTATATATAATAGTCCTTTTACAGATATACTATATCTATATATAATAGTCCTTTTACAGATATACTATATCTATATATAATAGTCCTTTTACAGATATTATATCTATATATATAGTCCTTTACAGATATACTATATCTATATATAATAGTCCTTTTACAGATATACTATATCTATATATAATAGTCCTTTTACAGATATACTATATCTATATATAATAGTCCTTTTACAGATATACTATATCTATATATAATAGTCCTTTTACAGATATACTATATCTATATATAATAGTCCTTTTACAGATATACTATATCTGAAATTTTTTACATCATCTTATTACAAAATATTTGTTGTTTTTTTGTTTTTTTACAGAGTATCAAGCCTCACATGTCATTTAAAGCCAGAATTTTTGTTCTAAATTGTAAGAATTCTTTGATTTTAGTCCTACTAATTAACCGATAGTTGGGGAGGGGGGGAGAGAAGAGGTGGAATCATCTCTCCCTCAAGGATATATCTGCATAAATGAATATAATGAACCAAATTTGAATTAGAACTCTGTTCTCCATTTTCCAATTCCAAGGCTGTTATTCATTACATCACCCACACAGCAGTCACCCATCGAGGTACTTAATTTGAGTCATTAGCAGAGAACCTATATTGAGGGAGTATACTAAATATAGCATTAGTCATAAAAATGAGGTTGGAAAAAAAAAATCCAGTGTGTGCTGTGGATCTGTGGTGGTGCAATAAATAGAGTCTCTGAATTAAACAGCTTCACTGTACACAGCACATAACTTTTTTTGCAGCTTACGAGGAATTTTTGCCTTCATGGTAAAAAAAAAAAAAAAAAGCAATGTGTGTCTAATATGCACCTTAAAATTTTCCATTTTCATAGGGATACAAAGTTGGCATAAATTAATTTTAAACTTTCTTTCTCAAGAGATAGTTTGAAGTGTGCTCTAATTTGAAATGTAAGCATATATTTTTTAAATAGATTTTGTGTGTCCCAATGTGTTGGAACATGAACAACTAAAAATCAGCATAAAATTTCCAAACCCAATATTATTGTTTCAGAAGTAATTTAAGTTTACAATACTTATCAAAAGTCAACTCGGAGTTTCATGTCATCACTATATTTTCCTATTATAAATTTGGCATCAATATTATTATTATATATATATATATATATAAAAATATAAAAGAGAATAGAAAAACTGTAATAATGGAATTTATTTAAACAAAGTAACTAATAACAACAAAAACAAAATGTCCTTAGCAACTGGAAGAATTTAGAGAACGCTATTTTCATACTGTTAGCTGAAAATTATGCCAATTACTGTCTCGTGTGGAGATATTGTTTTTATTGCTGTGTACATCTGTTTGGGAGAGTAGTAATTCTGTTAAGAAAGGTGAAATGGTTTTCCTATTGTCATTTATAAATATTGTCTTTTCTACAGGTTAACTCTGAGAAATTTACATACATATATATATATATATATATATATATATATATATAGACCAAACAGCATGCTACAATTATATTGCAAGATAAATGGAGATATATGTTTATCTTTTTAAAAACTAATTCTATTTTACTGAGGTTTATACTTTTTTCTTTTTTGATGTATTTATATATATATATATATATATATATATATATATATATATATATATATATATATACACACATACATACATACACGTTTGTATAATCCATTAGTTCTTTAGAAAATAAATCTGTCAATTTCTAAAAAAGAGTATTACTGACTGTGAAAATCTCAACATTTTTCATGTAACACCAACTACCTCCCAAACAGTTCTTTAACTCACCTCATATTCTAAGACTTCCTTTGAAATTAAAGGGTTAGAAACCTAACAAAATCAAACATTTTTTTTTTTCATGTGTAAGTAAATACTGTGATCTGATTGAAACTCCACAAAGAGAAAATTTGTGGATGTATTTCCTTGTGGAAGTGACACAGGGACAGATTTTTAGAAAAAACAGTTTAGAATGAATATATATGCATTTGCTTTTTTTTTTTTTTTTTCTTTCACGGACAATAATTGTTAAAACCATTATAAACATTTTGAATTACATGGCATTCAGAATTGACGGCTCAGAATATGTGACTAATTTAAGAATGTACAGAAAATAAAGTCAGCATTTTCTTTTGTTTTTTTTTTAAACTGCCATGCCACTTCAGGACTTAAGGCAATCACAGCTCTCCACAGCCTTCTTCTCTTTATTTCTGTGACTTAGCATGAATTATTGGGAAAGATATTGGAGTACTTTTCCCTTATTGCCTTCTCCATGATTTGGAATTCAGTGTGTTCTTTCTCCTTGACCACTTGCCTACCTCAAGGCTAAAAGAGAGAGCTCAGCCTACCCTGCTATTTTATTTATAAATAAGGACAGGGAAGAGAAGTGATGGGTTCATGCCTTTCCAAAGGGCATTACTGTGAAATGGACACAAAAACCTGGGCCTGAATTTGAACTCAGTTTCACAGAATTCAATTTTCCGCATCAATAACCATTATGCCACCAACACATCCAGCATTTATTTAAGGTGGTGAAAAATCAACAATTATGCAATCTTAAAAGAAAAAAGTCAACAATTGTGTAAGCTTAAAAAGAATCAAAAATTGTATTATCTTTTAAAAAAATTCAAATAACTTACTGTAGTTGGGGTGTAATTCCAGATCCTTCCGATGCCGGTGTGGCAGGAGTCAGTGGAGTCATGGGCCCCCCAGTTGCTGATGTAGGCTGAGGATAAAGACTGGAATTTGAGGGCGGCATAACCGGTGATGTGCCAAGGCCTCCAAGAGCACTAAAAGATGGTGATAATAAGGGACTCTGAAAAGAAAAAGAATATTTTTCATTTCCAGTATTAGAAATCACAACTTTTTCTTTTAGGCATTTATAATGAAATAAATGTTGTACCTGTGCCATCAAAAATGATGGCAATTGTTAGAAAATTTTAATAATGAGAGGCAATTAAATAAAAGTCTTGAAATCATGTGTTGAGATTCAATAAAACTGAGATAAAGAATTCACAACTAAAATAGAGGCCAATGAACCATTTAATTAATCCGTTCCTTTTATAATTTTTAGACAGTCGATGATATCTATGATTCATTGATTACTCCTGGTTTGGTTTATGACATATCAACCTCAATTGGTTATATAATGTCGACAAGATTTTTATTGCTGGTAATATTTTTACAAAAAAATGTATTGCTGGTAATATTTATTTTCTTCAAAAATGTATTACTGGTAATATTTATTTTCTTCAAAAATGTATTACTGATAATAATGTATTGCTGGTAATAATTTTTCCACAAAAAAGTTGCTGGTATTAAAACCTATTTTCTCACTTTCATGGTATTATGCCCCCAGTTTGGGGGTTAACTTTTTGACCATAGTTGGGACCATAACAGGGGTTACCACCCCAGGTCATGGTGGACGTAGGAACACCAGCAATTAAGAAGTGGTTCCACACTCCTCAAAACCTCCTGATCAGAGGCCTTGCTGTTGGATGTAGTTTACTGGCATACCCAGGACGGTTCTGGTTTAGTTTATTATGTTTAGCAGCATATCAAATGGAGCCATGCAGCCCATTTGGTCTTTTTGAATGGTATGTGTAATTACATAAGAAAAATAACGTTTTTGTTTTGTTTCATTCTCACTTGTTCACTCACATGCTCTCTCATATATAACCACATACATAAACAGTGAATGAGTACAATGTTTCTTGAATTTTGTAAACTTTTTGATGACGGTAATGTTTTCATCATTTTAAACAATTGGCGATTTTCACTAAGGAAGATCATAGGTGTAAATATATTTTGCTTTTGATACAGTAAACATAAGATTTTTTTTTTTTATTTACAGAAGAAATGTTACAAATTAATAAACTACAAATAAATCACATACAGTGACATGTGTTAATCACACTGTCATCAATGATATATCAATTTTTTAATTTTAGAAAAATATTTTTTCCCCACCCACCAAAAAAATGAACTTTTACCCCCATTTCTAATGTATATGCTTATAATATAATGTGGTCTTCTGTAATAAAAACAGCTGAGATACCTACTATGAAAATTTACCTTGAATTTTTTAGTAGTGCAACCCGCATTGTGATAAGCCATAAAACATGCAGCCCACTGTTCGAAAAAGGTTGCCCATGCATGTGCCATGGGTTATTTAATACTGAAATCTAAATATTTTGTATGCTATATTATGCTTTTAACTACAGATATTTCAAAGATAATTTTAAACTTTCAGGATAAACATGTTTTTTTTTAGATATATAGTTTGCAAATGATAAAAAGTATCATATGTTACTATAAAAATGTATTTTTGTACTTTTTAGTGATGTATCGATTGTCAATATAGTATAAAAATGTAATGTTAGTAATTCTACTATAAAATGTATTGTCAGTTACTTTGCTACAAAAATATATAAGTGGTAATTTAAAAGAGTGCGTTTTTTTACTAATATGGCAATTTAGTTCATGCCACATTGACTGATAAACTCCTACAAAAAAAAAAAAAATTTCTCAAATTGCCTTATTAGTAAAAAAACACTTAAATTTTCAAAGAAAATTCAACCTTAGCATTGCAACTGCACACTCCAAAAGTTTGTATCCGTTAACAACACATTTTAAAAAAAAAAAAAAAAAATCTTTCAATTCGCATTGAATTAATTTTTTTTTTTTTTTTTAATGTGTTATTGTTAATGGATACAAACTAGAGAATTTATTTTTGTTGTAGAGTTTATCAGTCAATGTGGCATGAACTAAATTGCCATATTAGTAAAAAAAATGCACTCTTAAATTTTCAAAAAAAAAAAAATAAAAAATAAAAACAATAAAAAAAAAAAATATTCAACCTTAGCGTTGCAACTGCACGCTCCAAAAGTTTGTATCTGTTAACAATAACACATTTAAAAAAAAAAAAAAAAATTCATTTCAATTCGCATTTAATTTTTTTCATCTCGGATGCTACCTGAATTTTACCAAAAACAAAATAATTTCCATGCCTGAGGATGACAATGTACAGTTGAAAGTATTTGCGAAAAGACCAGATTATATATATATATATATATATATATATATATATATATATATATATATATAAGATTCATTTCTGTAGTTCACTGCTACCAGCAAGCAGAAATATTTCTTCTGATGATGGCCATTTTGGCCGAAACTAGTCGAGGAATCGAAATGAAATAATAACAAAAAAAACGAAAGTATATTAATCTACAACCCACTGTGTCTGAAGATTTTAATTTTTTATTTAAAAAAAAAAAAAAAAAAAAAAATATATATATTTAAAACAAACTAAGAATGATAAATCTATACACAGAAACATCCTTAAAAACAAGTCTTGATCTTAATTTTCATCATTCACAGAATATTGGTTTTTGATCGATTGATTCCTTTTCTAAGGTTTACAAACCCTTTGCAGGTTATTTAAAGGCCAGCAAATATTTTTAGTTTGTAACAAGTTTTTTTTTAGATTAATAATAGTATTAGGGATACAAGTCTTACTAATTAACCCATAGTTGGGAGAGAAGAGGTGGATTCATACGTGATCAGAATTTGATAAAAAAATTACGTGCATATAAAGTGAGGGATCAATTTTATATTAAAATCTATATAAACTGGTCCCTCACTTTGTGGCTACAGTAATTTCGATACATTTATATTCCAGAAAATGCAAATAAATCTAAAAGACATGTCTGTGTAGCTAATCAGTATTCGATTGATTCCTTTTCTACAGCTTATCAACCCTTCGCAGGTTATTTAAAGCCAGAAAATATTTATAGTTTGTAAGAATTTTATTTTGTATATAATAATGATTTAGTGATACAAGTCTTATTACTTAACCAATAGTTGAGTGGAGAAGTTGATTCTTACGTTTCCTAAGGATATTCATGCGTAAGCAAATATAACAAACCCAAAAGGAATTGGAGCTCAACTCTGAGACATTATCCATTACACCACCTGCACATCCAACCTTACAGCACAGAGTATTCCCAAGTGGTCACCCATCGAAGAACTGACCTGCGTCAACATGGCTTTACTTCAATAATCATATGGGAACCGGTGTTTACTCTACAAGAACAAGAAATAAAATCTTTTTTTTTTTCCTTTTTTTTTTTTAGTGTTGGATACACATGCATGACTCAAGGTTATGAGGAGGGTTAACCAGAAATTATCTAGTTCCCTTAAGTATTACTGCCAACATCAGAAAAGCACCCATACCTCTCTTAGTGCAATAAAGAAATGCTGTATGCATGTGAACTTGGTGGGAGGAAGAAGAGAGATTCAAACCTTTCCAAGGAAACTGGTGTGAAAGTGAACACAACTGCCTCGGTGGGAATTTGAACTCCAATCCAATTCTCCTCAGTGATAACCGCTACATGATGTGCATATCCATAATGGCGACATGTTGCTTGGAGGTCAATTCCTAAACCTATTTCCACACAGATTATAAACCTGAGAAGGCCAGAGAACAGATCGGCTGGAATGGGGTAACAACAAAAAGGACAACTCAGTTGTCCCAATAAATCTTTAAATCCTAATGATGCATGTAAAAACTGCATAATACATAGTGTGGCAAAAGGACATGCCCCACCCAGCTTTTCTTTGAGATAAGCAACTGAGTGTCCATCAATGATCACCAGATCCTTTTTCTTTTTGTTAGATGTACTGAAAGATCTTGTTTACAGTCTAAAACTGAAAGCAGTTCCTCAATTAACCCATGACCTGCCCTGAGCCCCATTTGGGGATCTGTTAAAATTAAACTCACTACATGTTATTCCTTGTATTTACATTGAATTGCTTACATACATTGCATTTGCTGAAGTATATTTTACAACACTTAGCCTTTAAAGTTTATATTATTAGCCATAAGAAGACACTTTCTGTCGTAATTTTTTACATTTCACAAGTAGAAAAATAATGACTATTTTGAAAAGTATTTTTTAATTATTTCTAATCAATATTATTTTTTGATGTTTTATACACATATATATTTGATGTTCTAGTTTCTATAAAAATAACAATGGTAACTACTGAAATCAAACATAAGGAATAAATAAACTCCTAAGACACCTGTCTGGGCCAAAAATGCACATTAAAAAAAAATTTGGCAGTTGATGGGTTAAAACAAGCAATTTCTGATTAAATTTTCTGAAATTAATGTAGAAATGTGTCAAATGATTTGTAGAAGTGTTGCTGACAGGAAGCATTTTGAACATGTTTGTTAATAACAAATCAATGTTGTTTTGATCTGGCAATTCTTATACATTTTCTTTAGCTGTATATCCATCGTCACTTCTCAGTTACGATACTGGTAAAAGTAATCAGTTATTTTAACTCAAACTAATAAACTTAATTTACAGTTTAAAAAAAAACAATTCTTTTTGCACAAGCAAATTTCCATTCGAAAAAAGCAGCCCAGAGAAAAAAAAAAGGTTTAGGAACCACTGGGTTAGCCCAATAAAAGAATACTGAAAGTTACTTTGAGATGGACTGAGGAAAAAATAAAGAAGAAAGAAACAACCTAGTAGAGAACAGTATTGATCTATTTTTTATTTTGCAATAATATTCACTCTGTACAAGGCTCAAGAGCCACTCATGGTAAAGGATAACAGAGTAAGTGTTCAGGGGCAAAGTTGAAAAGGATATGTGAAGAAGATAACTCTGGACTTGAACAGTTTAAGATTGTAGTGATTGATTGGTTGGTTCTGTTTTACAGCATATCAACACCTCAATGGGTCATTTAATGCCAACAAAATCTTTTACAATAGATTCCTATGAATAGAACATATATTCTTTGTAAGGAAACAGTTTGTAGATTCGGTTTCATTGATATATTTTTGTAAAGAGGGCTGTTGTTAAGAGTCTAATTTCATTGTTGCGTATTCTTTTCAGATACACAATTTGTAGAGAAATTGATTTTGACATTCTCATTTGCTTTACGGCATATATATATATATATATATATATATATATATATATATATATATATATATATATATATATATATATATATATATATATATATATAAATATGAAAATATAACATAAAATCTATAAACTACTACAAAAATAGCCATTTTGTTTCAACACTTCTGGTGTCTTATCAAGAGATGCTATTGAATTCAACACCATCACTTGATAAGACACCAAAAGTGTTGAAACAAAATCACTATTTTTGTAGTGATTTTATAACATATTTATGTTATAATTTTCAAATAAATAATTTTATTTGTTCTACTCTGTATTGAGTCCTCTTTTAAGAATAGTAATTGTTGGTTACTGGAATTTATTCCATATACACCAATCCTATACTTAGGTATATATGTTTCTAATATATTTTCAATTTAAATTTTTTTTTTTAAATATATATTCCCATTTGTGCATGTTTTAGTTCCTTTTCCTCTGAGAAAACATTTTAGATGAAGCCAGCTCTTCTATTTTTTTGAGTATGAACTAAAATTACATTCATGAATTATAACTTTGTGATTGTACCCCAGATCATTTAGCCACTATAAGCAGACCAAACATCACTAATGATTATAAAACCTTGTTCAATGTCTTTGAATGACTGCTTCTAAAGTGCTTCTCAAACTATCAGCAACAAATTCTGCACAGTAATTAAATTCTTCAAATTTCTTTTAATTCTAAAGAACCATTGTTGATGAAGCATGCAGCCAGTTATATTTCACTTAAAGTAACTTCAGGCTAATAAATGAAATTTAATATTTCCAACAAGCAAAATATTTGCTGCATTTCAAAAACTAATTTAAATTGACTGGAAAGGGTTTTTTTTCCTCTGCTAAAATAGCTGATGAGTGCCCTTTTTTTAGTTGTCTTTCATCCCAATGTAATTCTCTTTATTTAAAAAATATTCCAAAAATAAAACACTTTTTTAAAAGTCCATTTGAAGAATATTAGCTGATTTAAAGTATAATTAGTCTGACTTGAAATGACTATTATTTACTTTAAGTTTAAAATATTGCAGAAATGTATTTTTAAGCCAACAGTAGGTGTTTATTTAAGGCGTTTGTGGGTTTGACAGCTTGATATTTATCTAATGTTGTTCTATAGGTGCTTTAGGCATTAAAAAGTAATGTGTGTGCCTTTTGTATATAATTTTTAAGTACTCAGTAATCTTAAAAATGTTGGAAAATATTCGACGCAATCTTATGCTTTATTGAATTTTAAATGTTTTTTGCTGTAAGTTTACAATAGTTATCACTATTTTCTGATAATGTCATGTATAGTCGACTGTATATAGAAAATTGGCACATTTAGACACATAAAAAAGAAAATACTTTTAAAAGTATTGGTGTTTGATGAGTTCTACTAAGCTTTCTAATTTATAATTAGTAAATATAGTTTTTACATAACAATATCATCCAAAAGGATTACATTAATACAGAATTTTAAAAGATTAAAAATTATTTAGAACTTAAGTTATTCTAATTAAAATGTAAAAAGGAAATGAAAACAAATCTTGTAAAAATTTATTATTCATTGAAAAATGTGTTTTCCTTAAAGCAATAGTGTCCATAACATATCTTATTTATAAAAGCAATTAAAAGCTTTTCTAATTAAATAATGTCTTAGTTTTATTACATTTTATGAGTAAGAGCAGATTTTCTGTAAATGAGTTACTGTTTAAAAAAAAAATATTAATGAATTACATTCTTCCAGAAGTTCTGCTTTTAACTAATATGAAGAGGGGAAATAAAATTAATTTTTGAAAATTTCTTTATATAAAAAAAAAAAATTTTTTTAAATAATTTCATTCATTTGTGAATAAGTCCTGAAACTGTCATTAAATTTTGACAATTATTTAATTTTTGCAAGAATTTACAACTCAGTGTGTTTTTTACCGAAAAAAAAAAAAAAAAAAAAAAAAAAAAAAAGACACTAAAATTTCCTATACTAATCTGCCCTCGCTGATGCAAGAAAAACAAGATTTTTAAGCAAAATTTTGTATGTCCGAGAAAGGATTAAAAAAAATTTAATAAAATAATAAAAAAAATAGTTTGGTCTTTTCTCTAAATGATAAACTTTTTGATAATAAAACTTTGTTTTTAATCAAGTTTGGGGCCTTTTTTTTTTTCATCATGGTATGCTCTTTTATCGGCGAATTATTAAAAAGATACCTAGTTTTAACAAACACTTTAAAATCAGATCCAGACGTAAATGGACAAGTGTATTAAAGGCTTTAATCCACTTGGCCATTTACATCTGGATCTGATACTTCTGAAAGACCAGCCTAAGTGATAGAAACAGACAACCGACACGAGTGAATGGGATTCCGATTGGCTTATGAAATCTCCTGTAAAAGAATAAAATGCGTAATGATGATAATGTAAGACGGTGGACTGAATAAAAATTTCTGTTCATATTTCCAATTAGGTCACCGAATCTAAAAAAAAAAAAAACCGGAGATTTTAGCAGCCGAAACGTTGTGATAAACGATGATGAACATGCTATATCCCGAATTCGTCTTCGTTCTCCCATCAAGCCAAATAAATCTAACTTGATTATGAAAAAAAATCCGCGGGAATAAGCAAAATTAACCCCTTGTTAAATAATTGATACTTTTAAACTGAAATTACAAAACAATTTTCATTTTCACTGTTTTGTGATTAGGACGTTGTTATTAACTGTCCCAAAGTAAAGTAATAAAATTCATGATGCCTGACACCGGCGACAACACAGGAAGTCTGAAAACCGGTGATCAATGAAAAAAACGTCTCCCATATATAATTTGCCCGGTCGGAGATTTTTTTTTTTTTTTTTTTTTTTGTGAAAATACTTAGATGGCAAGGGTGAAGAAGGTCGGTTAGTTTTGATTACCTGGTAATAAGAAATCTAATGATTTCTCTGTCGTCATCTTCATTGTTAGTTAAACACAAGACAAAGTTTTTTTGGCGGATAGTTATTTACAGTCTCGGACTGAAATACCAGTAACAAGAAAAGAAAAAGTACCAAACGAATTATAAAATTCTGAGGCATAACACAATACTCTGTATACTGACCGCAATCAATATACAAGCCAATAGACTAGAATTATAAAGACAGCTAT